AGGAAGGAAGGAAGGAAGGAAGGAAGGAAGGAAGGAAGGAAGGAAGGAAGGAAATTGCAAGTCACATTTCTGTGAGGTCATGGGGAAAAGCCCCACTCTAACACAGGCTTTTCCTTATGTAAAACCTTCCGTGTTTCCCTCTTCCCTTTTCACCTTCTTGCGCAACTCCCTTCATATGGTGTACTAAGCGAGGCGCACTTCCATGCGCTGCATGAGGCGCACGGCCAGGCTCCCTCCCTCTAGCATGCGCCCCACCCTCCTTCCCCTGGATGACCGGCTCCATCCAGCTGACTCCCCTTCTGCCACCAAGCTCCATAAAGATGCCAGAAGTCGCCGTCCGGCCGGGCTCAGTGCGACTTACACTAGCCCAGAGCGCAGGTAAAAGCTGAAAAGATCTGAGGACCTGCAGCCTTGATTTCTCCCCCCATCCTCCCGTTTCCTTTCTCTTGACAAAGGTCTTGCACACCTAGGGCAAATTGCCCCAGGTACTTGGGGGCAAATCTCCGGCGGGTGAACCATTTCACGTCACCCCTTGCTATGATGAGGGGGCCTCGAGTTACTACAATGGCGCAACGTCCGCGGGGAGAGATCGAAACGGGAAGGACGCCGAATGCAGCAGTGACCCAAGCCCCGCCCCTTTTGTAAACACATGCACAAAGAGGCGGGGCTTGGATCGTAATGACACATCCACCATCTTGCCCGGTTTGACCCCCCTGGCAGACACCAACGGTGCAACCAACCGACGACCTGTGTCCCCCCATGCGTGCATTGTACCCTGATGTCGTACCTTGTAATTCTGCAGTTCTGCGTGTTGACATACGACCCCGTGTACACAATATCACACTGGACAACGTTGTTTGTGAAGTCCGACTCGGGCACCAGGAAATCTGGGTTGACGGTCACCTCAAAAGCAGAAGCACAAGAAACCCGGTCACGCGCCTGCAATCCGCATCGAAAGGTGGTCTTTCCGCCTCGCCCAGCACCACCTCGCGTGTTCGGACCCCCGGCCGAGGACAAACCTTGGCTACCATTGTGTCAGAGGTGGGGGGACGGCTGATTTACTTTCCCCCAGCCCTAAATAAATACATAAAGAAATAAAAAATAAAACCAAGGGATGCTGAAATAGGCCGCCTAGCAGCCGTACGCTGATTTTTTTAGACAGTTTGGAGAAAGCCACACTTGATTGGCGCCATGCAAAAGGATCCTGCTTTCAAAGGCTCAACCTGCTGGGAAACAGAATCTGGACAGGTGAAGCCAGACTGGGCAGTGCAGTGTTTCTCAACCTTGGCCCCTTTAAGACGGGTGGACTTCAAGTCCCAGAATTCCCCAGCCAGTCTTAAAGGGGCCAAGGCTGAGAAACACTGATGTAGTGTCATAGTGACAGTGAAAATGAATGAATGAACCCCACATTGTACAACTCAAGGACAGGTGTAACCCCACTTTCCAAGCCTCCCTCCCTTTCTGCTAGCCCCCCAAATACCGGTTTACAAACACCAATTTGTAAACCTCCCAGAGTCACTGGGAATCAGGTGGCAAATGCATTTAATAAATTATTGTTGGTCGCACAGTCAGCCAGATGCTTAGATTGGATCTGGCATTTTGATCCCCCGATCACGTCCTTCCCAAGGGCCTGGGATGGGCAGATGTTATGTTGGTTGGCGTTAGAGGTACCGTCGCAGGATGGAAGCTGTTCCCAGTGAAGCTGCCTTTTGCAACGGACTGGCGGTGATTTGGTCAACGTCGACCGTCTTTAAGAGGCGCTCCAGATGTTTTGGAATTGGACCTACGGTGCCTGTGACCATTGGGACTCTCTTAGCTTTCTTTTGCCACAGTCGTTCTATTTCTATTTGCAGGTCTTGAACGCTCGGCATGGACAAAATCACCGTCAGTCCGTTGCAAAAGGCGGCGTTACTTGGAACAGCTCACATCCTGCAACGACACCTTTAACTCCATCAAGCCACAACATTGTTCTTATTCTTATTCTTACCTTGAGGATATACTGTCCGGGAGGGACGTCCGTAATGTCAATCCACTGGCAGTCGATATTGGCATGGTACGTGTCGTAGCAGCCAGGGCTCAAACCCTGGGGCGGGGGGGAATGACATTTATTTATTTAGGAAATGTATATGGTGCCGATCTTATGCGCAAACTCTAGGCAGCCAACAACCAGAGCAGAATTAAAATAACCCTAATTTTGTCCTAAGTCTGTTTTAAGAGTACTGTTTCAGCAACTTTAAGAGGTATGGACTTCAGTTCCCAGAATCCACCAGCCAGGAGGGTGGGGCTTCAATGGCATGATTATGGCCACCCTCCCTTTTTTTTTTATAATAATATTTTATTGAAATTTTAAAATTACAAAGTTAAAAGTCAGAAATGAAAAAGAAA